TCTCTGTCTCATCTTTTTCCTGTTTTACAGGAACATTTAATCTTGTCAACAGGCCCAACTCCTGGGGCTTGTTACACCTTTTTAGTTAAAAATGCTGATGTTTCTAATGGAGAACAATCTGCATGAGCAGAACATCATCAGGTTTTTTTTTTTCATTCAGACCTGAAAAATTTGAGTCTGGCTTTGGAGCTGTGCAGCATCAGTCTCGCAGATTATAGCAAACAACTGAAAACGCCAATGCCTCTACAGGACATCAGAATAGTCATCCAGCAAGTATGGCACCTTCAGAGGAAACAAGATTCCACACATTAACAGATTTTTAATTTCTAGATTTTCTATTTTTGACCCTTGTTTGCAGCTTGCCACTGTCTTTGATGCATTGAAGAAGGTTGGAGTTATCCACACTGATGTGAAAACAAACAACATCATGTTGGTGGATCAAACGATAAAGCCTCTGCAGGTCAAGCTGATTGACTTTGACATGTCTGTTCACAAAGGACGCCAAGTCCATCAGAGTTATTCAGGTTCTTCGTTACAAGTAAGATTTGTTAACTCTGATGGTTTTGTTTTTTAAGAAAGCACGTACAAAGCACGGCCCCCACTTTCATTTCTACATCGATTTGTTTACTTTTGCTGTTGTTGATCCAACATTTAAATCTCAGGTTTTTCCCCATTTGCATGTTTTAGACCTAACCCTGACCCAATTACCACAAATTCGTGTTAGTATTTAATTTAATAAAAATAGAATACTTGAGCCCCGTGAAGACCATTAAGGGTGATTTTAGGCCTGGTTTTGAAATATTTGGACAGCCCTGCTTTAAAGTGTTAGCTCGCGCTGCTTCAGTGCATTACTGCAAGTTCTGTTCAACTTAGTGATGTAATTCATTTAGGAATAAAATGTTGTACTTTTAAATGTGTGATGTCCTCTTATGTTTTTTCAGGGCCCCTGAACCCATATTCGGACTCCCTTATTCTGAGGCTTTGGACATCTGGTCTCTAGGCTGTGTGATGTCAGAGATGGTCTTCAAGTGCAAACCCTTCCCAGGGGCAGGTGAAGATGAAGTTGTTAGTAATTCAGTATAAGTAGAAATGAAAACGCCTGTTGCATTTTTTTGTTCTGTGGTTGCAGCCATTTGTGCTATTTAATTTGACTTCTGTGTCTTTTTCTACATAACTCTTTGTCACTATCATAATTTAGAAAAAACTCTCACTTTTAATCTCCCGAAAGTGACCGGTCCTGATGTAAGCCTGTTTTGTGTTTCTTTTTTTCAGCTCTACTATATGATCAGCCTTCTTGGACCTCCACCAATGGACCTTCTTAACACAGGCCGTAAAACGGAAAAGTTTTTTCACAAGACAGACAATCAATGGCTTCTAAAGGTACAGTAAGCTTGATCAGGGGGTGTTTTTATAATCCCAAAATGCTACTTTACTTATTTTCTGGGTTTGAAAAACACATTTCAAGGAACACGGCATAAACACAAGAAAACAAGTAACAAAAATGTTTTGTTTATTTCACTTAAAACACATCAAGTTGTCATGTATATCTTTTAAAGAGAGTTTCTGAAAAAAGTACAGTTTTAATGATTATTTTTGATTATAATTGGTTACTCTGAGTTTTTCATGCAGGCTGAACATGAAAATAGTCTCTTACACCTATCTCCTGCATTAGCTTCTGACAGTGAAAATCTACAATTAGAAAAGCCTGACAGATCTACGTCACACTGTCACTTAACATTCCTGGACTCACCCATCGACTCTGTTAGTTTAGCATCCAGGAACCAGCAGAGAAGGTCTCGGCTAGTAGAAGCTAATTGTTAGCATTAGCAATTCCACCACACAGCAGAACTCCTTCAGGCTTGAGTTATTTGTGGAGATAAAATATCAGAAAATAAGACTCCAAAACCTGTTGTCTAACTTTCTCCTCAGGCTGACTTTCACATCCTCAACTAGGCACACCTGAGCTTTATTGTCCCTCAGAATCACTCATAATGCATTCATTCCTATTAGAGACCTCTGCAAATGTATGAAAAATATGAGTAAAGTTGACCTTTAAGAACAATTCGTGTCTTACTTGTTATAAATAACTATTTAAGATATTTCAGTTGGGAAACAGATTATTTCTTCTCAGGTAAAGCTAAAGCTAACCGTTAACTACAGCTTTAGGCCAGTTTCAAAGTGGATTTCTGACATCTTAAAACCATTCAAAATTTCAAAACGGAAGGAATTTTACTCCAATTTCAAACTTTGTTTCACAATCCACAATTATTTAGACATTTATACATTTTAAAGTCTGATCAGAGCTTTTCCTCAAAATTTCTGCTGTGAATAGATATATAAATCTTTGTAAACAACACATTTTGGCAGAAATATTCACTCTAAAATCTCTGAGATCAGAGATTTTAAATGCCCTTTAAAATCTCTGGTCAGTTAAGCCTGGTTTATGCTTCTCCGTCAGCTCCGCAAGGGACAGACACGCACGGATTGATGGAAGCGTTTTGCTCTTTTACTTCTCCGTCTCCTGGAGAGTGTTGCAAAGCAATTGCCCGGCAGGACCACAGAGGGCATAGCGCTGTTCTGTGGTATCCTGTCATGTATCGGTCGTTTATATTGTGTTTTTTGTGCATATAAGAGACTTTTAACACGGACACATTTGTCTCTCATTCTCCCACCGCTTCATGCGCTCCCCACCTCTAAACCGACGTTTCCTGTCATTTCCGTCCACAAATAAAACGCTTGCTGCGCATCTTTTCACTCCTCCAGTCACGGGAGAATTAAACATTCATATTTTTAGAGTTTTTTCGCGATGTATTCTTCAAGCTTCTCCGTGTCTGCCGCTAGTTATCCTCAGCTCTCTTTGCAATGGCGGCGCTGTAAACAACAGCGGCGTCCTGACCAATCACAAGCTTGCGTAATCCGTCTTGTTCGACGGATGTATAGAAAAGAGAGCTCGACTCCGTACGTACTTGCGTGCCTGCCGGAGCCCTACTCAAGGACGGATAATGGCGTTGCGTGTCTCCGCACTGACGCAGACGGAGAAGCATAAATCAGGCTTAATCCTTTTTGCTACCGGGAGTGTCAGCTCTTTAGTCTCAGTTTCTCCAAACAGAGGCTGTTCAAAGTGTTACCTACTACAGGTAGGATTTTTTTTTTTCACAGAAACTCATTTCAAAAGGTCTGCAGTAGTTTAACAATAATATAAACATTCTTTATTATTTCATAGATGAAAATGTCATGAGAATTACCTTAAATTAGCAATGGTAACATATTCCATTTAATTGTTCGGTAACCTAAAAAGGGTATTTATGGTATCCTATTAAACTTATAAAATACAAATTTTATTTCTCTTAACAGGATCCTCAGAAATACTTTACAATCACGAGGAGCTGCAGATTTCGCACTCTAGATAATGGAAAAATTGTAAGTATCTCACTCTCACTCATGCACCAATAACTGAAATGAATAATTTTACAATCAAATCAATTATTTTGATTGATTTTAATGTGTTGTTTAATTATCAGATTAAACAAGAGATTGACAACCCAAATGAGGCGAGAGGAAGGAATGCATTGAGTTACTGAAGGCGATGCTGAACTGGGATGCAAATGAGAAGATCATGCCGAGCGCGATCCTCGCCCATCCCTTCATCACCGTGGACTACAGCAGATTCAGCAGCTCTTCCTTGGAGTCTTATCAGCATGCTTGATCCAGAACCCTGCACCAGCAGGGCTCTAAATCTTCACGAAAGTAAAGCATTTGCTCCAAGAATGTGCTGGAAGCCAAGTCAAGTGATTCAAATACCTGTGAACACATCAACCCTTTCCTTAATGTCAAACCAGCTGCAACTGTGGAAGACCTAAACATGGAAAACGGTTTGTCTTGTTCCAGCAAAATACTCAGAGAGCCAAAGGAGGAGACCTTTTTGAAGCAATTATTTTGCTGTTGCATGCTGAAGTCAAATGCTGGAGAGAGTGTTATGGCGAATGATCAAGAAACAAAAAATCAGCAAAATTGACACCTAGGAGACCGTTCTCCAGGGTGTGGCCCCTAAAACTGTACTGAGAAGCTGCTCAGTTCTCTATCTTGATCCAATATGAAGAGTAAATAAATGTTTTGTTCAAGCATTACTCATATAGTGAAACAGTGCCTTTAAGTTTTTTTCATGCAATTACAATTTTTTGGTAATTTTGCAAAAACCTCTAACACAGCCATGCCTTTTTGAAAGAGCTAAACATACTCAACAATATATTTCATAACCTGGTAAGTAAGGCTTTGATAGACAATTAATTCCTTTTCAATGATGTTTGCCTTTAAAATGCATGTGTAACAGGTCCGGGTAAAAGAAGAATCTCTAACATATTTTGCAGACTATGCCACAGTGGCTTGTTAAAGAGGATTCAAATAACTGTTTCAATGCTAAATGGGGTTTGACAGAGTCCAACACAGATTTAATATCTAGGACATACATTTCTCAGCATCTAAGTGGAGATGAAAAAGTTGTCTATTTTAAAACAAACAGCAGTATGCTGTATTGGCAGAGCAACAAATGGATTCTACGTGACTCACAAATAGCATAAATTCCGAGATATTGTTCGCATATTTTCAAAATACATTTTAGCTCACAGAGCTTCAAAATACAGACAACAGATGCAATCTGAGTGTTTATTGGCATCATTTTGTTGTAGATATAGTTATAATAACTATTATTGTTTTCTAATGCTTCTAATAGACATTTTGATTATTTTAGAGCTTTTATTATGGAAAATCATCAAATTCATTATATCATAAACTATTAAACCAACATTTTTAATGGCCTTTACGTTATTGTTAAGCCATGGGACACTGTGCTAAGACTTGTTCTAGAATCAAACTGTATATTTTATTTTTGCTATAATCCATAAATTCACCAGTTTTTAGGAATCATTTAAAACTGTAGTACCAAAATACGACTCAAGAGGGCGCTCTATTGTGACAAAGAGACAGGAAGTAGTACGTTTAGCTTTGTGAGCGACATTTTAAATAAACCCGAAGCTAACTGCTAATTGTTACAGAGCTTGCGAACCTGCGAGCAGCTTACGTCAAAAACACGCAGGATTTTATTTAAACTGTAAATAGTTAGTGATTTGAGCGGTGTGCTGGTCATACAACTCGTCGAAGACAGTCTGAAGATTACCGAAGATGTCCAGATGTCCGACATTGTGATAAGAATAAAATACTGACGCTGTGGTGAGTTAACAGCAGCTGAGTGCTGCTTGAGCTACCTCTGCATTAGCTGTTAGCCGCTAACTTGAGCCTGCCTAATAGAACTGTGGTTGGGTAGATACTGCTTCCATTTAAAGGATTTTGCAATGCAGCTTCTCTGCAAGCCACATTTCTTCCTCACGACTTGCGTTATTTTGGCAAAATTTGCGAAGGTTATGATTCATGACCGAAATAAGCTTCACTACGCAGCTCAAGCCGGATTTCTGTTTAGCCGTGGACACAACTTATTAGTATTTCCTTTTGTTATTAATAAACGTGACTCACTGTCTGGATGCGTGTTGGATTATTGCGTGATTTATTTGATATTATAGTATGGGACGAAAACTTTAGTTTTTTATTAAGCAGTAAATCCATTTTTAGAAAATTTGGCTAAAGTGAGACGTTTGATATTTAAAATGACGTCAAACCCTCTATTTAAATTAAATTGCATGTGTTATGTTAACAGAAATCTGGCAAGTTTTAAAATAACTGACTGTTGGCTAGAGTTAGTAACTTGTTTTTCTCTTTAGCAGGTGAGTTCTTGTCCAGGCACATTGGTCCAAATTGGCTGGACCTTTGGGCTCTGGGCTTCATCAGCTGGAGAAAATGGCTGATTTAGTGAAGGCAGAGGAGTTTTTGGATGCTGAATGCCCTCCAGAGTGCCTTGATGAAGCACAATCAGCTATAGTTTCTGTTCAAGGAGAACAGGATGAGAACCTGAAAACGGAAACCACCACCAGTACTAGTTCACCCCCAAGGGAAAAGGAGGCTGACAGCCCTTTAAATACCGAAGGGGAGCAAAGTCTCCTCTCTATGCCATGCCTCATGAAGGAGCTCCACCGAGACTCCCCCGAGTCCCAGCATGCATCTACAGGGAGTGACAAGCCAGCGTCACGCAACATTTATGAGAGTGACTCCTCAAATCCTTGCATGCTCTCTCCCTCATCTAGTGGACACTTGGCTGACTCAGACACGCTTTCTTCAGGGGAAGAAGGGGCAGCTCCCCCTGTAGGAGAACACGAGGGTGGAATGGAAACTGTAAACGATCCTGGGCAAATGGCAAAAAGACAAGCATCTGCCACTGCTTCTGGGGGGAGGAAGTCTCGGCGGTCGCATTCGGAGAGCGAGATGCCTCCGATTGCAATGGCTGCAAAGAAGAACCGCTGTCAGCCAACGGCAATAGCGACTGGGCAGGAGAAACAAACCAATGGCAAGTTGACGAAAGTTAAAGGTCCCCGGAGCCAGAAACACAAAGAGCGTATGCGCCTGCTGAGGCAGAAACGAGAGGCGGCAGCACGGAAGAAGTATAACTTGCTGCAGGACAGCAGTACCAGTGACAGTGAGCTGACGTGTGACTCCAGCACCAGCTCCTCAGATGATGATACTTCAGGAGGCAGCAAGACAATCAAGACAGATATTCCAGGTAACCTCCCATTACCTTATCACACCCTTCTAGCGCAGTACTTTACATAGAAAACAATAGCATTACTTTATAATATTGCTTGTATAATTGCTTGTATAATTTAGAAGTTCAAACATAAACCTAAAGTTAAACTTGATAAAAGAATGTGTGCTTTCTGATAAGGACAAGGCTTTATTTGTGCTCCTTTTGACAACCACCTTTTCTTTTTCCTGTTAATTTCTCATTCATCGATAGCCATTCTCATCGTCTTTAAATGTAGAAATGTTGTTCCGAGTTGTCCTGTCACTCGTCACTTTACATCTTTTGTGGTGTCTCATAGTTTGCATGCTGTGGAATTCTAGTTGTCATTGTTCAACCCATGGATCAATAATCATTTTTTACTTAGTGATTGTTTTTTTTTTTTTTGTCCAGTGAGTCATGGATCTGTCCAATCTCTGCTCTAAACTGATAGAAGCAGGCCACGTTGGTCCAGAATATAAGACATACATGTCAATTTTTTTTAACTCATTGGAGAATTAAAGAATAAATATTAACATCACCCAAATTACTGCTTGGAGTTTAGTATATCCTGTTATTTATCAAATATTCTAGCAGAAGTCCTGGGTTGGTTTTATAATGAACTCTTCCCATACATGGCCTTTTATTTATTCCTGTAGTTTTCTATATATTCAGCAGCATTTTCATGTGTCTAATGGCCTAATGATGCACATCTGGGAGTGGATGTGGTGATAAAAACATTCAACCCTGGTAAACACCAGGAGGCAAACTCATTTAACTGTCTGGATGGGTTTGTTGTTTGTTTGCATCGTTTGTTTTTCTCAAGTCTCCTGAGTGAGTTCAGGTGTCACGTTTTACTCAGCTCAGGTTTTTTTTTTTTTTTTTTTTTGCTGTTTAAAGAAATGTTTTTATTTACTTTAATCTGGCCTTTTCAGCTTAATTTTTTACCTCAAGATTTCAGTTTTATCCAACTGAAGTACCAGTTGCATTTGATTTAGTATAAACGGTTTGTTTTGGTTTATTTAAAATTCTGTTGATTCGTTTTACATGTAGTCGCTGTAGGGGTAAAGCCTAGTATCTCAATTTTTAAACATTTTCACGTATTTACATTTAGATCTATTGGTCACATTTCACATAAATCAGTGAAAAGTGGACACTAAAGAGAGATGTTGTGACATTTGACCACAGAGTCGGTTCTTTGTAAAACTGAAGACTTTTTCCCCCAACGATGACAAAACTGTATTAGATGTATGTTGTAGTTCAGGTTATCTCAGTCCATATTATATGTGTGTACTCGAAAGACTCACCAGTTAACATGTTTTCCAGACCATAGTTGCTGACTCAGAACATCCAGTTTTCTTCCTTTATGACTCTTTTAGTACATAAAATGTTTTCAGCCATTTTTTACATCCTGGCCACAGTTTTGAGTGCTACAACCGCATGATGTAGTTCATCAGCATGAAAGAATCTTTCTGCACGTAACCAAAAATAAAAACATTCATTTTCTATTTAATACACACGTCCACCTCCAAAGCATGACCGTGCCACTGTATTTTCTTATGGCTTTGGCCTCAATGTCTTTAAAGCTGGCTTCAGACGCGGATCGGAGAGTTCCAGAGTGGGAGCCCAGATTCATGGGCTGCTGGACACCAGCTCGTGGGACAGGAACGGCATCGGCAACGTTCTGGAGGAGGCCATGACACGCTTTGCTGTGATGCAGCGTCAGACTGAGGAGCGCTTCCGCGTCTGGATGGAAAAGCTCGCACACCTCGACTCGGACAACGATTCGTCCAAACGCTCAAGCGATGCCCCCGAGGGGCAGCAGGGGGGCCGGCTTTCCCCTCCCAGTTCCTTTTTGCCATCATCGGAGTCTGCAGAGACTATGGCTGCCTACATGTTGGCGCGAGAGGACAACAGTCTGACCCCCACCCCTGTAAACAACAATAACATCCTTCCTGAAGTTGTCGTGCAGAATGGGAATCTAGGAGCTCCAGATCCTGGACTCTTGAATATTTAGATGTCCCCTCTGCTTCATTTTTTACAGTTACAAGATCTGTAGTTGATTCTGAAAGCATGGCGATGGATTATGATGCTTAGGTGATGTGAGCTCCCTAGTAGATAGATTTTTACCAGTTGATTGGCCAGAGTTGGTCTTTTGAAACTGGACTTTGGTGACCTGAGGTCCCAACATTTCTGCTGACACTGAATCACTGTGAGATTTGACATTCACCGTTTTTTTGGCTCAGCTGTCATCTGTGACACGGACACAGAACATGACTCACTACACTGGCAAATCAGGGCTCTTATTGTACTTTAATTGTCGGGCTTTTATTTCCTTACAAACACACATTTACATGCATTGCATAGTGCTGGGTAGTGTGCTGCTGTGTGATAGCACGTGCCTTGTCTTTCTAATGTCATGGTGTGATAGATGGAGCATTTTCATTGCTGTGTATGTAGCGACCGGGTTTAATGCTCCACCATCTTTTCTCATTTTCTTGAACCATTTGCACTTTGCAAATGCCTCAGGAAAAGCTTGTGAGGTTTCATTTTGGTGACACAGCTTTACTAACAGCAGAGCGTTTATCATAAATTACCCAGAAATATAAATGCAATACGCCATCATGTTTGACTTGTTAGGATATTCTCGCAGATTTAGATTAGATGTTTTTTGACGCTGACCTTTCTGTTGCTGCTAGTGAAGGGGGAACCAGTGATGGCCGTCAGATGAGACTTGTTTTGTTTGCTGCTGTTTCTCACAATGCCAAGAACATCAAATATTCCTTGATAAATTTGCGTCGTTTTGTTTTCTTTGCACTAATTTTGCCTGCTAGCTCAGACTTTCTTTCCAGCTCGAACCCTAAAACTCGAGCATCAAAGCAGCTTTGAACAACAGAGCATGACTATATTGAAGAAGGAAGACAGGACAGATATGGGTTAAAAGTGGCCTTCTCTGGTTCAGAGCATGTGCCCCCCCCCCCCACACACACACACACACATACAGACCATCACTCGCTCTCAACACATTGCTAACACTATCAGACGTGAAAGAGGCTCTTAGTTTTTCTTTTAGAGCATTGGATTGTGAGTTTTTGTATGTAAATAACCTCCAAAGCTGAACTCATATTTGCTCCTCCTGTTTGCATGTTATTATATCAATATGTAGAATGTGCAAGGCCAAAACAACTCATCAACAGCATGTGTGCAAGATTTAGCTTTGTTTATACAGATAAATGCTGACAAAACGGGATGTTTTATCCAATTGCTTCCTTTGCTTTGGTTTCATTATTATTTTTATAATATGAAGTCTTTTTGCCATTTGGATTTGTCGTCAGCCTTTGTAGGTTTGTTAAACTGAAGGTACCTTTAAATCAACAGTATTGCTAACACAATAGAAAGAACCTGGTAATAATTAAAATGTGCATTTATCAGACAAAATGAGAAAAAGGGACAGCTCAATGTTTACCAAAGAGACTCTCTTGTTTACATTTGTCCCTTTTCTGTCATTATAACTGGCAAGTGCTTCGTTGTTCTGGTAACACTGATACTAGTGTGTTTCAGCCCAATCAGCTGTTGTGCTCTCATTGTACGTGTTGTCCAGACAACCCCCCCCCCCCCACACACACACACACACACGTACGTCTGGATAGCAGAGTGTATGTCTCACACTCTTTCTCTCTCTCTTCCTCTTTCTTTTTCGTTCACTGAAAAAGTTTATTTTTAGGTGTTTTGTATTAATTGTATTCTAGTGTAGTTTTTATGTGAATGGCTGTTATTTTAAACATCAATAAACAGAAAGAGAGAAAAAGAAAACTGCTGCAGATTTATTAATAAGTACAAATGAGGAATGCTAAATTTTATAGAAAGGCTGTGTGTTTTTCGTTTTTATGTGTGTGTTTTAGTTGCTGCACACCGACTGTGGGTACGGTCTCCTCCAAACAGAGTCCCACTGGCTTGATTTGAATAATAAAGTGTTTTCTTTGTTTCCTGCAGACGGGCCTCCAGTAGTGGGCCACTATGATATTTCAGACACTGATTCTAACCAGGAGAGTTTGTGTGTGGCGACAGTCCGGCCCACGGTGATAAGGCATGAGCTAAAAACACACAGAGGCCAGGATATGGCAGCTCACTCTGGGTGTGTAAGAGCTCTGAGCTCGATCTCAGGTCAGTTACAAACCCGGTAAATAATCATTTCCTCTCAGTGAAGGCACGGCTTTTAAGGGCATAGAAGGGGGAGTGGGGGTGTCACCTTTTACGCGGCGGTGGGAAACAGGCCCATTTATCTCAGCAAGGCGCCGTTGGAAGCACACTTGATCCCACGCTTCTAAAAGTACTGCTTCCTTACAACAAGGAGACAGAATTGACCTTTTATAAGTACAAAGGTGGTTTCCAAAAACATAAGTGTTAAGTGTATCATCTGAGGTATCCATTATCCAGTGTTTGTTTTTCCTTTTTGACCATTCATTGTTTTGTTTTTGTCTGTGTCGAAGCAGCTGCAGTCTTCATGCATCAGCGAGGCCTGAAGCTCTCTACTGCTTTGATCGTCCTCCCAACGTCTGACTGTTCCTTTCATTTATTTCAGGCTGTGTGGAGGCAGAGCTGCTGCACAAGGAGAGCTCTCAGCATAAAGGCCAGATTAATATTGCTTCCTCTGACAGTGAGGTGGAAATAGTCGGCGTGCAAGAGAAAGCTCGGTAAAGACACTCAGTAGTTACCCCCACCCTCTCGGCTCATCTAAAGGAAGTGTAATGCTAAACTTTCATTTGTTTGTTTTTAAACTAGATGTGCCCATCCGTGCGGAGGGGTGATAAAGAGTTTGTCTTCCTGGAAGGAGAACTCTGTGGAGCAGTTGAACAACACAAATGAGTCTCAGATCTGGACTACCGTTTCCCCTCGGCCCAACTGGGTGTCCCCTCCTGAAGTGGTGGACCTTACGCTGGACGAGGACGCCGGACATAAATATCGCCTTTAAACAGCTGAAAGCACCTGGCTTCCTTCTTTCTTAGTGTCTGAGTCTAGATTTGCAGCCACTTGTTTCTCCTCATGGGATTACTGCTGCTTCAGAGCATTTTGTCCCATTTGTTTTCTAACAATCACGTATCAAAGCCATTCTACTGGTGTGATTTCCCGGCTCTTGCTTGTCTGCTTGGAACATAATGAAATGGCACAGCACTCATGAGTGCAAGTAGAAATGTACAAGAATGATTTATCTGTCAGCAATATCTTCCCTTCATTTAATACCTCAGTTACTCCTCGAACCGGTGCAGGTTATGTTTGTGTCGTGTGCTCGCGAGCTGCTTTAGCGAGAACTTCGAGCCGGTTAGTGTCACTTTCTGGCTGTTGGCCTTAATCACTACAGACTTTTTCTGGGATCTTTTCACAAGTGGTTTAGCATTTTTGACTTGTGGTGAAACGACGAGCTTCTGCTGGGGTTTTTTGTTGTACAGTAGAGCATACGTAGGTGAGCAGGTTTGATGTTGAGGAGTGAATTTTTGTTTTCTTTAAGGTCTCACACTGGATATGCATCTAAATCGGTCCCCTTTCATAGCCTGCTTTGCACAGTGTCTTAAGTCGACACAGCTTGTTGTCTGATACCTACAGAGGGGTTTTTGTTTTATCCTAAAGGAGTTGTGAGACTGTAGGGAAGGATCGGAACTTAAAACGCATCTGTCCTGACCTAAATGACCAGCCTAACAACAACTCCAAAGCTCACAGATCCATCAAATCTGTCACACTAGACGAAGTTCTTTCATTATGACTTGATGCCTGCTTCTTTATAAAAGGCAAAAAAGCGATAAACACTTAATTTTAAGCTGTTTTTGACAGGCCGCTCTTTGAATAACCTCAGTTTGGAGAAGCAGTGATTAGATTAACTGTTGTCTACAATTAAAGGTGCAATCTGGAGTTTTCCCCTTTTCGGGGATTATGTATGATTTTTTTTTTTTTTAGAAATCTATAAATCAACTTTTTTTTAAATTAAGCCCCCACCCCATAGTGCCCCATGTAATTTTACCTGAGCGCTGCTCAGCATTAGCCAATAGCGTTAAACATCTGCCTATATACAGTTGTCCCTCATAGAGCCTATGCGCACTTTCGCGGATGTGCCTAGACCAATTGCACAGTTGGGAGACATTTCTAATGGACAAATAAATCTTTAAAGGTGTGGAACACTAAAAAACAATTTTTTTAATTAATTCTGATAATAATCGGTCACGTTGAGTTGAACGTGCAGGCTGAACATGAAAATAGTCTCCTACACCTATCAGCTGCATTAGCTTCTGATAGAAAATAGACAACGAAACGTTAGGATTTGAAAAGTGACAAGTCCACGTCACATTGTCACTTGATATTCATGATCTCACCCATCTTGACTTGTGACGGGGAAGGCTGTTTGTTCAGCATCCAAGAAACCTCAGAGAACGACTCGGCTAGATTAGGCCAACCATTAGCATCTCCACAACACGGCAGAAGCTCCTCCATGCTTGTGTTAACTGTGGAGATAATACATCCATGTTGTATTGATTAAACAAGTGTTCTACACCTTAAATATATATTAATAAATGGTATAATGTGATAATAATAATGCTAAAACAACACACTTTAGCTCTGTTGCCTAGCTGCATGTTCACAAATGAGAGGCGTCGTTTCCAGTTGTAATCATGTAAACGGAGCGAGGGGTTTAAAGGTGCAATTTCTTTTCCTGTAGATGCCCTCTGATAAAAAAACAACTATTCTGCATTTTTGTCAGTTACAAAAAGAATTTCTCAAAAATCATAATGCTCCTAAAGCAAATGTTTGCTAATAAATTTATCTTACGTGATCTTTCTGCCAGAAAATGTACCTGGCGCCAATGGAACTGATCTAGAAGTACGACATAAAACTAGTCAGCATATAAACCATAAATTCATCTGTTGATTTTGTGAGCCGCTTATCCTTGACTAGGGTCTCGGGGAGTTGGTACTTAATGCCCTGGATGGGTCAGTTGCCACGCAGCAGAAAGAACGCAGATTTTCTGCACAGAGTTGGCGTGTTTACCCTATGATGTGTGGTCACTTAGGCGATTCTGTTAATTATTTTAAGTAATTGGTTTGAGTCTGACAAAAAAAAGCACCTGACTACGCAAAATTTTCTATACTGCTACCATGTCCTCATTGTTGCGCTCTGTTTTTTGTATGTCACGTACAGATCACCCTGCGCTACCTAAGAACTACTAGAGCCGCCCTGCTATGACGAGCCCACCCACTAGATCCATTTCTTAGTTGTAATACAAAACCACCTGAACCATAGAGTTGAGTCGAGAAGCGGAAAAGGGCCATAAATCAGGGATAGTCAACTTGTTGCCCATAAGCTGTGATTCTTTCACTAAATACCATACAAATACAGGCCAGTTACCATTTAAATCCACAATGCTATCGCTAGGTGGCGCTGTGTTATATCCACAGCTCCTCATCACACAGTGCAATGCACTCTGAAAGGTTTGCTCATTTAGCTGTCAGAGTTTAGCATGTGTACTGTATGTTTTTAGACTTTCTTGTGTGTGCCTGCTGGACTGGTGACCTGCCCAAGATGTCTCCCGCCTTTTACCCAGTGAATCCTAGAGTTAGACACCAGCTTCCCATGACCCCATTGAGGAAAAGCAATTAACAAAAGGAGTGAGGAATTATCGATAGCATCAGTTATTTGAAAATGGAATGAAAGTCGCATCGTTTGCCCCCTAAGCGATTTTGCTCGTCAGTGAATGTATGACCTTGCAGTGCTGTTTGGGTGTTTTCGCAGTCTGTATGTTTATCCTAAACAGGTGATCTCCTTTACTCTGGGGAATCCTAATAACAGGAAATGCATCCTCCCTTGAATAATGCAAAGCAACATGGCCTGAATGGCTTGAATAGTGCACTATTTTTGTTTTTCAGCATGGTATAAATCATATTTAAAAAATTACATTTTGCCGTCTCACTTGCATATTTTAATGTTTGTGAACAAATTTTTTTTAAAGATGTCTACTTGTTGATGTGTAGGACGTTGGGCATTTAGTGTGTGTGTGTGTGTGCACAATTTTTAACCTCAATCAATGGGGTCCCCCCCCATTCTTTATTACTTACAATTTGAAACTAATTCTAGTTTTTGCTCCTAAAGAAAAGTTGCTTTCCTTTTATGTTTCTAGAAACGTTAACAGAAAGGGATAGTTGTAAGTACAAGAATTTAAACCAAAGTGAATTTTGTGTTCTCAGTTGAACTTTCTTGTTCATTGTAAAGTCCCTTTGTGCATCGAAATCTTTTAATTTGGTAATCCATGCTTTTGTAAAAGATGTGACATGGATTACAATTCAAACTCACGGTTTTGTTAAATATATTTTAGTTTTTATTTGGCCTGTTCTGTACTGTAAGCAGCTGTTGCTGTATTCTCTGATACAGATCATTTCTGCTTGCAAATCTAAAACTGCTCCGTGATATTTATGTTAGATTGTTGGTAAGACCATTGAATGCATCCTTACTAACATCAGTCAAAAACAGGTCAAGGTGGCTGGATGATGGTTGCACATTTTATGTTTATTAGCATATTTTATTCTCCGTTCAGACATTTTTCCTCAGTAATTCAGTCATTGCTCTTTTGTTTCAACTCTGTTTTACTGTCAGTATTTTAAACAAACAAATGTTTATGTTGCTTCTGCAGGTCCCCAGCTTACATCAGTTTATTTGTAGAACAAAAAAACTATTTTAAGAGTAAATAAATAGTGTTATTTAATGATTTGTTGTCTAGATTGTTTTGTTTGTTTTCCTTTGTGATGAAACTGTTCTAATTCACTTTAAAACAGGTTTTGTTACGTTTGTTTGTGTGTTGCCAAACAAGAGTTTGTGAATCCTGGTCTGTTTGGAGTCTTGACTAAAAACTGAAGCTATTTCTGGTTCTGACCTAAACAGAAGAGACTATTTATCATTTCATACATTAAAGATGAGCTGAATTCCAAATGTTGGGAACAGCATCTGAAAAGTTCTACTGCTGTTAACTAATAAATCATTTTTGAATATTTTATTAAGGTTTTTGACATTACTAACTCGTATTTAAGGCTTTAGTGTGGTAGTTTATGTAGTTCCATGTGCTCTACTGTGATATTTAGAAGAATAAATCCAAAGCATAATATTGAACACATCTCAGGTAATATTAAAGGGCTACTGTGAGCATTAGTCATGCCCCATAATAATTATAGTAAGGTTTGAGGGAAGCTTATTATATACTGACTCATCTGTCTTTTTCTCACAGGTAAGCGGAAGAGGGGAGCTCTGGCACAACTGTTCGACTATCTGCAGGAGATGGAGGAAATGCTGCAGGAGGAGGGCGAGCATCAAGAGCGGCTGGTAACCAATGTTAGGAAGATGGAAGAAAACAGTGCAGCAGTAATGGGACTGCTTGGTTGCATGGTGTCCATCTTGAAGCAAGCTGCGCCTAAGTCGTTTATTTTTTTAAGTTATTTTATGTAATTTCTTTGCAATTATTTTACATATATTTGTATTTTTAACACATTTTTCTTTTGAACAGGTGTTTTCCAGATGCCTATTTCAAATGATGTGGCTGCTGTTCCATTATGTACTGTACCTTGAATACATTTCTGTCTAAATATATACCCACACATGCCAATGTTGTTTTTGCACATAAACGCATACGTAAATGTGACAATGTGCATGCAAATGTAGCAGCACATACTAGGCCCGTGTCAGTGGAAATCGACTAGATTTTTGAAAGAACCATCCATAAACCGGCTGGGGTATCAAAGTAGCATCAGTTCGTTATGGTGGACAATTGGTCTATATGTGTTGGTGTTAGCAAAATATCCCATGAACCACTGGGCTGATTTTAATGGGACTCCTCTAATTCATGAGATGTAGGAGTGTCAAGTAAAGCTCAAATACTTTGCTACTCCTAAAGGAAGAGTTTTTAACACTTAAGCTATTGCTTTCAAACTGGTTTCAGGGATTCTTGACAAAAACAGTCTAATGGTGACTTTATTGCACTGGACTTTTAACACTAAGTTATGCTCAACAGTGGGTATCTTTTTTCTTCATGGGTTATTTAGTATTGGCTCATGGTACGGACTGCAGTGGTTAGCACTGTTGCCTTGCAGCAAGAAGGTCCTAGGTTCAAATCTCAACCTAGGGTCTTTCTGCATAGAGTTTGCATGTTCTCCCTGTGCATGCGTGGGTTCTCTCCAGGTGCTCTGGCTTCCTCCTGCAGTCCAAAACCAGGACTGTTACACAGGTTTGAGTGTGTGTGTGTGTGTGTGTGTGTGTGTGTGTGTGTGTGCTTGGTTGTTTGTCCTGTGTGTGTCTGTGTTGCCCTGCGATGGACTGGCAATCTGTTCGAGATGTACCCCGTCTATGCCCAGAGACAGCTGGAGATAGCACCCCCCCCCCCCCCCCCCCCATTAACCGGCTGAGCTGTATTTAATTTTTAAGCAATGGTTGATCAATTGTCAGATCACACATAAAAAGCACTTTGGATTGCTATTGTCTGTCTCACCGAGACAGATCCTGAGACGCTCCTGCCTGACATATTTATTTTATTCACGGAAAAAAATCAGACTGGTGATTTCTCTTGGGGTTCATTTTAAGCATTCAAACAGCACAGCACTCCATTTAAACTTCTTACATGTACAGTGGGGCAAAAAAGTATTTAGTCAGCCACCGATTGTGCAAGTTCTCCCACTTAAAATGATGACAGAGGTCAGTAATTTTCATCATAGGTACACTTCAACTGTGAGAGACAGAATGTGAAAAAAAAATCCATGAATTCAGATGGCAGGATTTTTTAAAAATTTATTTGTAAATCAGGGTGGAAAATAAGTATTTGGTCACTTCAAACAAGGAAAATCTCTGGCTCTCACAGACCTGTAACGTCTTCTTTGAGAAGCTTTTCTGTCCTCCACTTGTTACCTGTATTAATGGCACCTGTTTGAACTCATTATCTGTATAAAAGACACCTGTCCACAGCCTCAAACAGTCACCCCGGCTTTCCACGGGAGCCGTCAGCAGCACGTTACTGCAGCAGCACGTCATAGCTGCTCATAGGAACCGCTGTGGTCAACAGAACCTTTTCCACTAGAGCCGTCGGCAGCGCGAGTCGGCCGCGTCTCAGGAGCAGCATGTCGCGGCCTTTACGCGCCGGTTCTATTTTCTACGCGCGACGCCTCTGAAACGGGTCAAGTTCAACATTTTTGGGGAAGGAAAGACAGGAAATCGAACGCGGAAATGGGGAAAAGCTCCCGAGATTTTCAGAATGAAGAACGTACTGCCTTCCGGTTGCTTTACTTTTAAAAACAGTTACTGTGCGGCCCCGTGAGAAGTTATCACACAGCTAGCGCTCTCCTTTGTTTTTCAGGTCCGTATTGGCAATTATAAAACGGACAGAACATAAAACACAAACCATGTTGTAGTTTTCTCCTGCTTGTTGTTGTGTTTACTGACGAAGTCACTCGTGTGACTTCGTGCTCGGTCGGTGACAGCTGCTGCCCTGCTGCTTCGCGTCTCGTGGGAAGGGCCAAGCAGCAGCTTACGCGAGCAAGATGTGCTGCTGCAGTAACGTGCTGCTGACGGCTCCCGTGGAAACCCGGGGTCAGACTCCAAACTCCACTATAGCCAAGACCAAAGAGCTTTCGAAGGACACCAGGAAAAGAATTGTAGACCTGCACCAGACTGGGAAGAGTGAATCTACAATAGGCAAGCAGCTTGGTGTGAAAAAATCAACTGTGGGAGCAATTATCAGAAAATGGAAGACATACAAGACCACTGATAATCTCCCTCAATCTGGGGCTCCACGCAAGATCTCATCCCGTGGGGTCAAAATGATCATGAGAACGGTGAGCAAGAATCCCAGAACCACACGGGGGGACCTGGTGAATGACCTGCAGAGAGCTGGGACCACAGTAACAAAGGTCACCATTAGTAACACACTACAACGGCAGGGAATCAAATCCTGCAGTGCCAGACATGTTCCGCTGCTGAAGCCTGTCCAGGCCTGTCTGAAGTTTGCCAGAGAGCACATGGATGATACAGCAGAGGATTGGGAGAATGTCATGTGGTCAGATGAAACCAAAGTAGAACTTTTTGGTATAAACTCAACTCATCGTGTTTGGAGGAAGAAGAATACTGAGTTGCATCCCAAGAACACCATACCTACTGTGACGCATGGGGGTGGGAACATCATGCTTTGGGGCTGTTTTCTGCTAAGGGGACAGGACGACTGATCCGTGTTGTGGACAGAATGAATGGGGCCATGTATCGTGAGATTCTGAGCCAAAACCTCCTTCCATCAGTGAGAGCTTTGAAGATGAAACGTGGCTGGGTCTTCCAACACGACAATGATCCCAAACACACCGCCCGGGCAACAAAGGAGTGGCTCCATAAGACGCATTTGAAAGTCCTGGAGTGGCCTAGCCAGTCTCCAGACCTCAACCCCATAGAAAATCTGTGGAGGGAGTTGAAAGTCCGTGTTGCTCGGCGACAGCCCCAAAACATCACTGCTCTCGAGAAGATCTGCATGGAGGAATGGGCCAAAATACCAGCTACTGTGTGTGCAAACCTGGTAAAGACCTATAGTAATCGTTTGACCTCTGTTATTGCCAACAAAGGTTATGTTACAAAGTATTGAGTTGAATTTTTGTTGTTGACCAAATACTTATTTTCCACCCTGATTTACAAATAAATTCTTTAAAAATCCTGCCATGTGAATTCATGGATTTTTTTCCACATTCTGTCTCTCACAGTTGAAGTGTACCTATGATGTAAATTACTGACCTCTGTCATCATTTTAAGTGGGAGAACTTGCACAATCGGTGGCTGACTAAATACTTTTTTGCCCCACTGTAAATCTGTTATTTGTCCATCCATCCATCCATCCGTTTTCATCCGCTTATCTGGAGTCGGGTCGCGGGGGCAGCAGCCTAAGTCGAGAGGCCCAGACTTCCCTCTCCCCAGCCACTTGGGCCAGCTCCTCCGGGGAAATCCCAAGGCGTTCCCTGGCCAGGTCCGCTCCGACAGCTTCTGGCGTTTTTAAAAAGTATCCCAGGGCCATGGTAAGGGTTGGAGATGTTTATTCTATTTAATTACTGACTATATTAAAAGATTTCTTCGGTTTCAAAGTGTGAAGTAAACTCTGACGAAGTAAAATCCAAGCCGATCCCGTTCATTTTGTTTACCTTTGTTGGCTGCCAACATGGCGTCTACTCTCTGAGAGTCACATGACGTCCGGAGCTCTATATTCACACATAGGTTCCAGACTATCCTTTAGTTTGCATCCACTCACAGTAAATAATAGTTTAAACAATTTGTCAAGTCGTAAGTGTTTGTAAAATAAATTCTTACTATGTTTATAAACCTGACTGTTTCTTGAATCAAAGTGAAGTGTGTAAGAACCCTTAATAATTAAAAGAATCATAGGATCTTCTAATTAATCATCCTAAGACCAAGCAGGGGGTATTCTATTTATATAGAGTATCACAGCTATTGGTCACAAGTAGTGGTAATAATATAAATGGCTTTTCAAGCAATTTACTTAAAGCAATACCCTCTATTATCATTACAAGGGTAACTGTTACACTGCCAGTTTTAACACCTGTTGCCTTCACATATTCTTGCATCTGGTTTCACAAGATCTTCATAAGATACTCTTGAGGAGTATAAGTATGCAAATCTGCATCTTTTGACCTTTATTTGTTAAAAATGGCTTTGAGGTCATAGATGTTGGATAAAAATGTG